CAGCCAGCAGAAGAAACATACAACAAACCCGCAAAAAAGTAAACGAAGAAAAAAATTGCATCCACAAACCAGAAAGAAAGAAAACCACGGAATCAATCCGCTAAGAAATAAAAGTAGTCAAAAAAAAATTACCGTCATTTTAAGAGACGCGTAATATTAAAAGAAACAAAGAAGGAAGACACTAAATGCAGGTCCCGCCGCGCTGGCCCCGGGAGAAGAGCGCAATTGTGGGCCAAAGAAAAGTCTTGCAAAGCACAAAAAAAATGAGGTGTCGAAAATAAAAACAAAAAAATGTTAATTCAGATGAGAATTTATGTACTTCAGAGGGTGCGTGGAGAAACGCATGTGTTCCCGACGGGAGCAGGATCCCCTCAAAGAGAGTTTCACTCAGGACAGGGCCGCAAAGCCCCATAGCCCCAGCAGCAGCAGGAGTAGCAGCACCCGAGACACACCCGCGCGCACGGAGCTGTCGCCTGTATCGTTACCGTATGCTTCGTTGAGTATTTTGAGTTCCGTGACACTCAGTGGGCGGTTGTATAAAAAGACGTTTGTCACCGCCACTCTGCCGCCCTCGTCGTCTCCAAAGTAGAAGTGTGAGATTTCGTAACCCCGTGCCTCGGGTGTTGGCAGCGCTTCGGAGGTTCCCACGAGCTTGCCGTCCACGTACACGGAGCCCTTGTTGCCCTGCAGCATAAGCGCCACTTGGTACTCCTTCCCCGGCTCCCAATTGCCGTTGGGTGCGGTTGCCATGCCGTTGAAGACCGTCTCCCACTTCTTCGCCGCAGTGTACGCCAGCCCCACGAACTTCATGCTGCCATAGTCCTCCAGACTCGCACCCAGCAAAGTCGCGCTCTCCTTCGGAGCCTGATGGATGGTCACCGTCGCCACAAGCGTGAACGCGTAATTCACAAAGCCGTACACGTTACCATACTGCCACATGTTCACGGGCCAGAAGGCGTAGGACTCGGCCCCAGTGAACTCAAAGCCATTTTTGACCTTCGTTGCCTTCGTCACAACTGCGTTCAGACAGCGGTACGCGTCGCCCCACGTTGCATCACTCGACGCATCCGACAGGAATCCAACCAGGCCGACCGTGGGCACAGACAACCCGGAGAAGGCGGAGTCCTGCTCTGCCCAAGTGCCCAAGACGGACGTGATTGTCCCCAGCTCCTCCGTCAGGGGGGACAAAAACAGGCTCACGTTCATTCTGATGCCTCTCTCCTGCAAAAAGTGCAGTTTATCGTTTGAGTACAGCAGGGCGCTGGAGAGCGGCGTATTTCCAGCAGCGTCCATGGAAATGGGCCCGACGCGAAACGTCCGGCTGTTGTCGGTGGCCCAAAGGAAGAGCGCCTCCGCCTCCATCTCCCCGAGTGGGTACTCTTTCTGGGTGTACAGCATGACCCTCGTTCCAGCAATCGTCGCGGTGGTGAGGGACGTCACACGCCGAGCCTCTTGCAAAGGGTTTGATTCAGAATCACCCCGCACGCGCGAGAGTGTCCTGACAGTCTCCGCCCACGTTGCCCCCATGTCCCTCGACTCGAACACCCTGCGGCCAAACGTACAATTAGCAATCATGAGCAGCTGCCCCGCCTCCCACTCGGCGAGGAGGGGCGAAGCGCAGCCAGCGGGGAGCATCCCCTTCGGGAGCACCCACGTTTGGCCCTCGTCCGTCGAGTAGATGATCGTGGAGACAAGGGAGGACCCTCGTTGAGTTGCCACCACAGGAAACACAAGCGCGCCGCTCGCCATCACAACGCCTGAGCCACCAGCACCAAAAAACTCATCCAGCTGTTTCGCTTGAGCGGATTGGGCGATCTGTGGTAGCAGCTGTTGGGGCTGGCCCCATTGGATCTGTTTGCCTCGCGTGGGCTTACCCACCAGCAAAGCAAAATTCCAGTCGCTTTTTATCCTCTTTGACCTAAGAAAGTCGTAGATCAAATCGTAGCTTCCCACAAGAAGAAAGACTTTGTTGCCCTTTGCAACTGCGGTGGGGTAAAACGCACGGCACACATGATACAGAATGAAGGGCCTGAAAAAGGCGCTGTATGCCTTCCACTGGTTTGCGTCGATCGCAGCAACAAGAGACGCCCAGCTCTCCGAAGCGTCGATGTACCCCGCCACAATATCAGAATAAAGGGGGAAATTCAGTGCGTCGTGTTCCCAAAAACGGGCGAAGTGGCCTTCGACAAAAGCAACCAAGACTCCACCAGCACTGACAAGCGAAGATGAGGCAAAAGACTCTCTTAGTTGAAATCCACCGTTCAGTTCCACACGCGTCTTATTTGGAACGAAAAGTTCAACACTCGGTCGCAGCTGCGCTTCCTTTGGTTTCACGTCCTCAGCGTGCACTGTTCCATAGCCGCATCACATCAGCACAACGAGGAGCAGCAGCACCGCAGCGGAAAACAGGTGTCGCGGCATGATGGGCCTCTCTCACTCTTCTTTTCCTCCTTGCGGTGGATCCGCTCAGGCAGCGACGGTTGCTTGTGTGTGTGCGTGTGTGTGTGTTGCTGGTGGTAGCTGCAAAGCCTTCAAAGCGCACAGCAGCAAACAGCGTTTGGTCTCTCTCTCGTCCTGCGCGTAGAAGCAAAGAACAGCGAAGTAAAAAAGCAGCAAAACAGCACTGAACACAGTCGTCATCCACAGTGAGGAACACAACACCATCGTCATCATCCACGCCGCAGACATTAGTTCCGCTCGCTCCTCTCAGGGAGATGCCAAAAAAATAAATACATCAATAAATAAATCAACGAGGTGAATGGACTTGCAGTGGGAGACCGCGAATCACGGCCCCTTAAAAATACGGCCAATGACAGCTGGGAGGCTGCGGAGGCAGTGAAGGAAAGAAGAATTACAGTGTGTGAAATGGTCTGTCAAAGGGGGAAGGAAAAAAAATGCCATGGACGTTGCGCCGCCTTGACGCAGTGGTGCAATATCCCGTTAACACCACTGGTGCAAAATACCACATCAGCCGCAGTGAGAGTTGCTTCGCCTGCGCAACAGGAAACCAAATTCAGCAGCCCAATGATGAGATGTCAGCTCCACCTCCCTTCGCAGCACCAGCAAGCGGCGGGCACAGGCGGTGGAGGATGCTCGGATGCGTGCGAGACGGCAGTTGCATCCGCATAAATGGCAATCGCAGTCTGTAGTGCCACGGAGAAGCAGTGGGTGCGCATCGTCGTCGTCTTCCTCTTTTC